TTTGACAATAAATGACAATCAGTTTCTTTACCAAGTAGTTGAGTATCATTGAAAAAAAATTAAATTTAAAAAATTAAATTATGTATGTTATTTTATTAGAATAATTTTAAATGTTGTTATTTGTAATATGTTTTCTTAAACGCATAAAATCATATTTTCTATTCTTTTAAAATTATTGTTTGAGTACATTAATTTTTGTTTTTTTTTAATTTATAAATTTGAATTAGGGCTGAGTTAGAAATGACTGGTAGAGGGGCATATGGGGATTTAGTTTGAGGCATATGGGCCAATAGTATTCACAATTAAAAAAACTGAAGAAATGTTAAAAAATAAGAATCTTTTTTAAGTTGTTATAACAGCTTTTTGTATTTTTACCCCCTTCCCCTTGCCCCAAGTTACCCCTGCTACATACATTCATACACTTGTCTTCACCCCAATAAGTAAAATTATTGCATATAGCACTGGCAATAGTTTATTCTAATGCATTTCAGAAAATTATCATTTTCAATAAAAACGGGCCTCAAAAGAGCTTAAAAAAAACATGTCCGGGTCCTAGTGCCCTGAGGGGGTGGGGTCTAGGAATTTGTCACTGCTAGATACATTCTTTTTATTGTTGTCGCCCTAATAAGTAAAACTGATGCATGCAACACTAATACAAACTGATTTTGTTAGATTTCAGATATATATTATTTTAGATAAAAATGGATCTCAAAAAAGCTTTAAAAACAGGTCTGGGACCTCACGTTCCTAGGGTGGAGTCTGGGAATAGGTCATTGCTATATACATTCTTATAATTTTTTTAACCCTAATAAGTGAAACTGATGCATGTAACACTGATACTTATTGATTTTAATACATTTTAGAAATATGTCATTTTGGTCAAAAACAGGGTTCTAATGGGCTTACAAAGTAGATGGGGGACCACTTCCCATCATCAGTTCGGAAAAAAATTTTATCAGTGAACTTTTTTTATTTAACCATTAAAAAAAAAAAACACCCTAATATATATATATATATATATATATATATATATATATATATATATATATATATATATATATACACATATATATACATTTATATACATATATATATATATATATATATATATATATATATATATATATATATATTATATATATATATACAAATAGTATTGCATACTAAGGTAAGCAATCTGACGCCATACTGAAATAGCCTGCTGCTGGGGGCTTCAGTACATACATCGACTGACAAATAACCTGACTCGCAGTGGAGTGCTGCTACATCGACTGAGGGTTATATATATATATATATATATATATATATATATATATATATATATATTATATGAAAAAAGTCTAATGAATATAACAATTTTTCAAAGTTTCAACAACATTTTTCGATTATACAATAATCATTTTAAGTATAAAACTGTTAAATACAACAAAATATTTAACATACAGTGAACAAAAAATAGTTTTATTTGTAAGTCAAAAAAAAAGAAAACATGAAAGGTGTCAAAAACATACGTCATAGAATAATGGAAAATGTAGATTACTGTAATACATACGTAATATAGTATTAGAAAATGTCAATTAGAGCTGGAGGGAAAGCGTGTAATTAAAAACCTGTTTATTAAGATCAGGTTTCTCCCATATGTGTAACGTTTTTTTATTTTTAACTGATGTGATGTTTAGGTGTAGTCTTATACTGAAAATAAGTCTTTATTGGCTACATTAAAACAACTAGTTTTAGAATGAATATTCATTGACTAATATGATAAATTTTTTGTAATTTTTACTATTCCTCAATTTTTCAACTCAAATGTTGAATGGTTTGACCCAAATAACAAGCTTCACAGCTTTTTCACACAAATTTATATATGACATTTAAGCAGAGATGTTGAGAAGTTTTATCTTTAGTTAAAAAATATGTATTAATTTTAAAGGATTTTTAATGCTAATTTAATATTAAGAGTTTTACAATTTTTATTGAATAAATTTTTTATTTTGTTTTGAACTTTATTTAACATTTTACCAATATACAGGTTTTTAAAGAAGCTTATTATTGAGGAATTGATAATTTATATAGTCGGATTAGGTAGGCTTTTGAAACCCAATCAATTAGTTTAGCAGGGTAAAGATTTTTTGGAGAATATGTTTAATTTATTATCATATATAATTATTATATAAATTAAATTATATAATAATATAAAAAAATTATATAATACAAGCCTTCCCAGAAGACGCATGCAGTTTCCATCTTGTTTGTCAACAAAAAAATTTTATTTAGACAACTTGGTCACAGCCGTTTGCAAGTTTATATATTAAGCATTTCTTTGCAGCAAAAAGTTATATTTGGATATGGCATTTACTTTGAATGGCTTTAGGTTTGAATCCATCTACTATCCAATTTTTTTTTTTTTTCTCTTGCTGCAATCTTGCTGCTCATATACTTGTTTTGTAACCATTTATCTTTTCTTTTTTGTAGATAAAAATTTCTTTCTGTTGTATGTTTTTTAATGATACACACTCTTCACATTCAGATTTCTCATAAAATTTAAGCCTTCCAGTGTATTTTTTAAGTAAGGGGTACACACATATATACATAGATTTTAAGCTTCAATTATGCCATGCCGTCCACAAACCTTTCACATAGCCCTAATTGTTTCATGTTACCTTTTTATTCCTGTACATTTTTTATCCCTAATCTTTTATCGCTTTGTAATTTTAGATATTTTAAATAATTGTTTTTTAACATTCTGTTCAGTGCACTTCTACTGTTTCCCTGCATTCTTCACTTCCAGTGCATTATACCCGTCCACTTCCTTTTAGTCTATTATATTATTGGTGAAACTTACATAAACAATTAACAATAAATTTTTTTAAATATATAAATATTTGGTGTTTGCTCTAATCAGGATGCTCAAACATCAAAAAATGCTGGATACGCCCCTATATAGATTTTTTTTCCAGCCATGTGGAGGAGGGGAGGCCAAATTTGATGAATAAATGTTAAAATTGTTTCCAAGGCAGATGACCAGAGGCTCCATGGCCTGGGACACTAGGGCCATGCCCCAATTATTTTTTTTTTTAAATTTTTTATTTTTATTTTCAATAGTCTAATGATAACTTTGAAAATATTGTCTTCAAAAAATTTTTCGGTTTGCACTTGTTCCATTTTATTTAATTATTTACTAAGTAAAATGCAAAAAAATAGTCGACGGTCAAAGTATAGATACACCCAGTTGTTGTTACAAGTGCATCATGATAAAAATGTTTGTAATTGAAAACCAACACTCACCTGCTCTAGATGGTCTTAAGTTTGTTAAAAGGAACATGCAGGTATGCATTATTGTCAATTTCATTAATCATAACAATCCAATGAAACATATCATATTTACACAATAAATTCACCAAATTTCAATGTATTGATGTTAATCACCTGTTATGTTGAATACTTTGAATACCAGAAAAAGAAAACATGCCTGTTACATTAAAATCTTCACTTTTTCATTTAAAGGTAACAGTATTTATAGATTCTGGAATAAACTGGTCCTAGTTTCAGGAATTGTTCTACTTAGCTGAAAATATTTTTTCAAAGTGGTCCACAATTCTGTCAGTCTTTCTTTAATCAATCTTGAAAAAAATAATCCCTTCAATTCAATATCTTGTCATTTATGGGCCTTTGTAGATTTGCATTTGCAGTTAATCTTCATACACAAAACCAATGTCATGCTTTTTACCTTCAGCACCAGAAGCAAAATGATTTTTCTTATAGCTGGTCATTTTTGTTTAATATATAGAGGGCAATGGGGTCTAACTTGCATTGACTTTGGCATCAATGCTAACTTTGGATTTCATCTTAAATCATAAATGTATAGTTTTCTGCAAAATCACCTGAGTCTTTTACCAACTTTCCTTTTTGGTGCCTTAGGTATCTTGCTTGACATTTTGCAATTTAGGAATGAGCTGTTAATTTATTAATTGCCTCTGATAACATCAATTTGTATTCTTCAATTGTTGTTCAATTGAAGAATACAAATTGATTACAAATTGAAAAGAATACAGATTGAAAAGAATTCAGAACAGATCAATGTTGTTCTGTCTGTATTCTTTTCAGTTCAAAAAGTTTTAAATTATAGTGTGTATGTTAGTTGTTTTCAGGCCCCCTCCCTTTAAAGTCTTGGGGCCCTGAAAACAACTTTAACATACACATTCATTGGCACTACAAAAATTCCATAATATATAAAGCTCTAACTAGTCTGGATGGTAGTGAAAAATCAATTACAATACTCCGCTACAAAAAAGTGGGGACCATGCCCCATATATGGAAATCCATATACTTATAGATCAAAATCTTTATACTTTTTGAAAGATTAATTAATACAGAATGATGATAATTTTTTTTTTTTTGATATCATCAAGGCCACATAGGTTTTCTTGAGCATCAAAATCAAGCATATAAAAATCGGTAAAATTTATTTCAATTGATAAATACAGGTACTTTAAAATATTTTTTTACCTTTCAAGGAGCAAGACACACTTTGAAATTAAAATGAAGGTTATTTTTGTGTGGAACATTATTTATAGGAATTCTTGCTAAATCCAAATAAAAAATTTTTAGTTTGAAAAGCTGATTACAGCAATCAACTATGGGAAGCTTTTTCAAGCATGTCTTTAATTCCATAAAATACCGATTCTATATGCAAATAATAACTTTCCTTTGAACAATGACCTACTTAGACACTAAGAGTAATAAATTTTTTTAGAGCAGAAATGTTGATTTGAAAGTACGCGATTCCTAACCAAAAAAATAAAATACTGTCTGGCTTTTACTACTCAAGAATATAATCAGTTACTTTAAAGGATTTTGAAAAACAGCTGTTGCGCAAGGCAGCAATTGTATATGATAAAAATAGAGTAATTAAGACATATAGAATTGATATTTTATGGTATTATATATTTACAACTTTATTACATTTTACTTATACTTTAAAAATAAATAAATATAAATACATAGCATTTTCTTTTTTTGGATGAAGACTTCAAAGACATGTTTTTCAGCTAACCACAATATTTTTCATGGTGTATACACCTCAAAAAAACAAAAGCAAATTATATATATATATATATATATATATATATATATATATATATATATATATATATATATATATATATATATATATATATATATATATATATATATATATATACATATACATATATATATATATATATTTATATATATATATATATATATATATATATATATATATATATATATATATATATATATATATATATATATATTATATATATATGTATATATATATATATGCAAATATATATATTATATATATATTTGCATATATATATGTATATATATGTATATATTATATACATATATATATATATACATATATATACATATATATACATATATATATATATATATATATATATATATATATATATATATATATATATATATATATATATATATATATATATATATATATATATATATATATATATATATCAATTGCTATAAATTTCAAATAGCTTAAGAGGTAAAAAATTTATTTTGGTTTCTGAATTTTCGCGGTATTATGGTTTTTGTCAGTAAAACAGGTTTTTTTATTAATATAAAACAAAACAGGTTTAAATTAAAAAAAGGTTTTATTAAATTAAAATAAATTTAAAAATTTATGTTAAAAAGTTTAAGAGTATTAATTTTATTAAAAAGTATTTAAAAAAAATGCATTATATATTTTAATGTTTAAAATATTTTGTTTTTTATTAACACAATAAACATTTCAAATAAAACGTGTTTTGTTTATAGTATGACTTCGACGTCGATTTTGACGTTCAGCAGTCCGTATTCACAGCCGTATTTCAGCAGCCGTATTCAGTTCTTTCCGTGATGCTATCTGCTGGTTAAGAGTATGATGCTATCTGCTGGTTAAGAGTAAATCAATAGTTTTTGACGTCAGTTAAAAATTATCGTTAAATTAAAACTCGTATTCTCAAGACCTCCGTTGGGTTAACGGAAGAGCCAAATTTAATTATCAAAAGGGAGTTAACACCAAAATCTAACCTAGCAATACACGACAGTTCTCATACAACACCCTTCAGCTCGCATGCATTACCCTACAACTTCATGATTTCATCGTTTGCAACTGATGAACCTCGCGGTTTATCAATTGCATTGCAATACCCTATAACTCTCATGAAGTTAATCAATTCTAGAAAAAGTTTTGGTATATATATATATATATATATATATATATATATATATATATATATATATATATATATATATATATATATATATATATATATATATATATATATATATATATATATATATATATATATATATATATATATATATATATATATATATATATATATATATATATATATATATATATATATATATATATATATATATATATATATATATATATATATATATATATAAGTAAGTAGAAAATCCCTTAGCAAAATTATTTCTCATTTAACACTGTGTTTCATCAATAAAGTCTCATCAGAAATCAGCATTTCTGATGAGTCTTTATTGATGAAACACAGTGTTAAATGAGAAAAAATTTTGCCAAGTGATTTTCTACTAATTTGTGATTGCTCTGTTCTTTTAAGAACATTGAGCACTCTTTTTGTAGAATACATTTTAAATTGTTTAAATATATATATATATATATATATATATATATATATATATATATATATATATATATATATATATATATATATATATATATATATATATATATATATTTATATATATATAAAATCTTGCGGTATGTTGTGCCGTTCTCTTTGAAGTAGTTGAAAACATTCTTCAGAATTTCGGGGAGCATGTTCGACCTTTTTCCTGTCCAAGTAATCCCAAATATGCTCGATTATATTCAAATCTGGACTCTGGGGAGGCCAGGTCATCATTTCCAGTATTCCTTCTTCTGCCATTTCATTTAAATAATTTTTTGCCACTCGGGAACAATGTTTTGGGTCATTGTCCTGCTGCAGAATAAAATTATGGCCTATTAGTCTCATTCCGGATGGTATAGCATGCTGTCTGTCTATCCACATAACGTTCCCCGGTGAGTCGTCCCTCTATTTTGATCAGATCACCTACCCCAGATGAAGATAAACAGCCCCAAACTTGTAAAGAGCCTCCTCCGTGTTTAATAGTAGGGTTTAAACACTCGGGCTGATAGGCTTCTCCTATTCTTCTTCGAACATATTGACGTCTTTTCGTTCCAAAAATTTCAAATTTGGACTCATCAGTGTACAGAACCCGATTAAACATTTCCTGGGTCCAATCTTTGTGTTGTTTTGCATATTTAAGTCGTTTTTCTCTATTGCCACGCCGTAATAAAGGTTTTCGAATAGCAACGCAGCCTCGTAATCCTGATTTGAGTAGGTGTCGTCGAATACAAGAAGAGCTAACATTTTTCCCTGTTGCTGTATTAATGTCCTTTGCCAATTCGGTGGATGTTTTTTTCCTGTTTCTTAAAGAAAGGGTTTTTAAATATTTATTGTCATCTTTTGTTAGCTTAGGAGGTCTGCCACTTTTCTTTCTATTTCGAAGGGAGCCAGTTTCTCTAAACTTTTTAATGATTTCTCTAATAGCAGTCTTCGAATATCCTGTTTTGGAAGAAATTTGGCGCTGCGAATAACCTTCTTCGTGAAGCACAATAACTTTCTGTCTCTCTATTAAAGATATTTTACCCATAGCAACACTTAATTAATCTAAAAATGTAAACTAATAACTTTATTTAATTATTTTTAACTATTTGTTTAACTGTATTCATAAAAAATTACAACTTTTTAAAAAATGTACCAAAACCGATTATTATTGTATTAAATTCACTCTATGACTACATTTTATACTGTTAAAAACTTAAATGAACGAATATGAACCTGAACCAGTAAGAAAAAAATCGAAAATTTTATTTTTATGTATTATTTAGATGAACGCTTGGTCTGCAGTTATTATGACAATTATCGTTTTAATAAATAAACAAACATATCCCTCATGTTCCTCATAAATTTTTGTTTATTTATTCAAGATAATATATTCTTTCAACCTTTCTCAAATATTACTCAACTTCAGTATGCTTAAAAAAAAAAATACACAGGAAAAAAATTGAAAATACAACTAATTATATAAGTGGTCTAAAACATATTCACAGTACTGTATATATATCTAACATAATTTATAAACACTAACATAATTTATATATAAATTATGTTAAAGTATTCTGAAAATAGAGTGCTCAATGTTGTTAAAGTACAGAGCAATTTAGTAAAAACTAAATTATATATATAAAATATATTTACATGAAAAAGTTTTGTTTAGGAAAGTAAAACTTTTTGTTCATAAAAATTAAAGGTAATTTACGTCATATTAGTTTTTACGTCGCTTATTTTATAAAATGAGCTTTTTAAAACCACATTATTTCAAAATTGGGCAAATTGGGGGCAGCTAACTTTTATAGTTTTTTTATAGAATATTACAAACTCTTTTTAAAAAAAGAATTCTTGAAGGAAGTCTAAGGTAAAAAGTTGTAGCTCTATAAAAATTAGTTTATACTTGTTAAAATTGCATTTCTTACAAGATGTATAAATACATATTTCAAATACTTTATTAATTATTATTATGATAAACTTACCCATTAATTAAGATAAACTTAATTAAGATAAACTATCAATTAAGATAAACTTATCTATTATCTTTGTATATAATAAAAATTAAAATGAAAGGTTTTGTATTTACTAAATACAAAACCTTTCATTTTGATTTTCATTGTATATAATACTAACGGGTTATGCATAAGCCTTCGAAATTTTTTTGAAACTGATTTAAATAAGGAGAGTAATTTTTCAACCTTCAACTTATTGTTTATTTTGAAGATCAAACATTAATGTATTTAAATCACTTTTAATTCTTATCTAGACTTCTATACAAAAAAATGACAAGGTTTGATAGAGAAGCCCTCGCAAAACGAATTGTAACGTTCTGTGAAAATCGTTCAAGTGATAAAAAGAAATTAACATATAAACATTTTAAAAATGAAGGAATACCAAAGTCAACTATATTTAGTATTCTTGCAAGGTTTGAGAAGTATGGTGTGTATAATGATTTGGTTAGATCAGGTTGTCCTCCAAAAATGGATAAGAAAAAAGTCAAGCGATTGACTAAAATGCTAAATAGTTCAACTGGTATTAGTCAAAAGTATTTAGCTTCATATTTTAAGGTGAAATAAAGCACAATTTCAAGAACTATTAATTTCAAAACAGATATTAAATGCTACAAAAAACAAAAAGCACCTTTGTATGAAAAAGATCAACAACAGAGAGCTGCAACATCATCGACAAGATTAGTTAATAAAGTATTCCATGAAAAAGATATAGTCATGGATGACGAAAAATATTTTAACTTATCTAACTCAAATATACCTGGAAATGATATATATTATACAAATAATAAATTGTTAGCCCCTGATAATGTAAAATATAAGTTGAAAAAAAAATTCGAAGAAAAGGTATTGGTTTGGATTTGCATTTCTTCAAATGGATTTTGTGAACCTCATATACATAGATCAAAGAATTCAATAACATCCAATATATATGTGAAAGAATGTATGAAGAAAAGACTTATACCATTTGTTAGAGAACATCATAAAGATAATAATTTTGTGTTTTGGCCAGATCTTGCAACTGCTCACTATGCTAATAAACAGAAAATTGGTTTATTGATAATTCCATAGAATTTGTACAAAAATGCACTAATCCACCATATGTTCCACAGGCTAGACCAATTGAAACATTTTGGGCTATTTTAAGTCAGATGGTATACAGTGATGGTTGGAGAGCACGTAGCATATATCAACTAGTTCGAAGAATAAAGAGCAAATTAAATGAAATAAAAGAAAATGATCCAGATCTGTTACAAAGACTAATGATGAGTGTTAAAACAAAACTTAGAAAAATCGCTGATAGAGTCGTCTATTCAATATGTTAAATATATTAATAAATACTAGAATGAATGTTCTTTATTACCATATAGTTTCATTTTTTTA